TAGTAAATCAATAGCAAATTATGTAGAAGAAATTAGATCAAAAACTATACAAAAGAAATTATCGAAGTAAGAAAACTAGGTCTCAATGAGATAATTTCTCCCAAAATTAAGAAGTCACACTTGCATTGCACTTAAAAAAATTGAACAACTTGCAAATGCAAGATTGAAAATTAGAAATAAAAATTGGTCATTTAAAATTTATAAGATACACACATTAGAACATCTAATTAAAGATTACCATTCCTTGATTAGTAAATTATGTTTGCAAAAGATCAACCCAAACTGAATCCAAAAAACCATCGAGTTTAACTTCAATTTTATCCAATATCTATAGTAAAAAAAAATAAAATTAGCCATAAAACCTGTTACCTTCGATCAACAAAAACAACAAGCCTTATCCCACTAAGTGGGGCCGGCTACATGAATTCTTTTTTTCCATTGTGCTCTATTGAGTGTCATTTTTTCATATAACTCTAATAAATTACGATCATTTTTTATGCAACATACTCAAGTCTTTTTAGGTATACCTCTACCATTCTTAATATTAGTTCAATTTAAAACATCCACTCTCCTAACCGGATTATCAGATAGTCGATGTTTAATGTGACCAAAACATCTAAGACAACTCTCTTTAATCTTGTCTACCTACACCAGCCCTTTCACGGATATAATTGTTTTGTATTTTGTCCGTAAAAGTTAGGACACTCATCCACCCAAGTATTCTCATATCAGCAACATTTAATTTAGTTATACGCTTTTCTTTTATAGGCCAACCTTCTGTGCCATCAAGTATTGCAGGTTGTACCACCGTCTTATAAAATTTTTCTTAAGTCTGAGCAGTACTTTTCTATCACACATTAGGCTTGATGCCTTCCTTGACTTCAACTTTCCAACTTGAATTCTACTCATAACATCCCCATCTATATCACCATCACTTTGAATGATAGACCCGAGATCTAAAATGTTCACTCCTTTTAATGATTTGATCATCCACTATTACAACTTTGTCACTAGATCTACTACTAAAATTATATTTCATTTATTCTGTTTTAGATCAACTCAAACGAAAACCTTTAGACTCTAATGTAGAACTCTGTAATTCAAGTTTATCCTGATCTCCTTCTCTAGTCTTATCCACAAGAAGGATATCATCAGTGAAAAGCATACACCAATGTACATTCTCTTATGAATGTCCAATAAGTGCATCCATAACTAAAGCAAAAAGATATAGGCTTAAAGCCGATCCCTGATGTAATCCAACTGAAATATAAAAATACTTCCTCAATCCTCCTGTTCGAACACAAGTAACATCTTTAGTATACATATTTTTAATAATTTTAACATAAGTCATAACAAAACATTTCTTTTCTAAAACTATCCAAAGAACTTCTCTTATAATCTTATCGTAAGCTTTTCTAAATTAAAAAAAAAATCATATGTACATCCTTCTTACTCTTTTTGTACTTCTCCATCAAACTTCTCAATAAATATATAACTTCCATAGTAGATTTGCCTGGCATAAATCCAAATTGATTATGAAAAATCTTTATACCATGTCTTAACCTATGCTCAATTACACTCTCCAATAATTATAATGCATGACGCATTAACTTAATTTCTCTATAATTTGCACACTCTTGTGCATCCCCTTTATTCTTAAGAATGAGGACCAAAATAATCTTCCTCCACTCCTCATGCATCTTTATAGTTTTTAAAATAATATTAAAAATTATAGTGAGCCAAGAAATTTTCAAATACCTTAAATATTTTCACACTTCTATTGAGATATCAACATGTCTTACTGATTTTACACCATTTGTTTTCTTTAAAGCTTCTTTATTTTCCTTTTTACTAATGTGACGATTAAAATAATTTATTATTATTAACGATATTATGATTTCTATGATCGACCGTATTTTCAAAAATTTCATTATAAATTTTAACAAAATATCTCACCCACCAATGTTGAAAATCTTCCTCTAAGAAAAATACTTTTTGATTTTAATCTTTAATACACTTTACTTGAATTAAATCTTTATTTATCTTTTCTCTTTGTTTGACTAGTTTATACATATATATTTCACTCTCATTAATATCTAATATATTATAAAAATCATTAAAAGCAGAATTTTTAGCATCACAAACAGTTTTCATAGACTACTTATGGGCCACCCTATATTTTTCTTGATTTTCTATGTTTTTACATTTAAACAAGTTTTTATAGTATAACTTCTTATATTTTATCTTTTTTTTGCACATTATTATCCCACTGCCAACAAGTTTTATTTATATATTTTTTTTTTCATTTTGATTCTCTGAATACAACTTTTGTCACTTGTTTAATATTGTTTCTTACTTTATCCCACATAAAACTAGCCTCTTCATGAAGACCCCAAATCTTAAAACCTTGAAGTCTACTCATAAAAATAATTGTCTTTTCGGTGGCCCGATCTATTTCTATGACAATGTTTCATTAAAATTTTTATCTTCGAACTCATCTTAAAATTCAGAACTAATAATCGATGCTGAGTATTAAAATTTTCACTTGAAATGACCTTACAATCTTTACATTCTTGACAATCTCTTTTGTTCATAATAAAATAATCGATGTGTTTTATTAGATTCATTCTTACAAGTAAAAATATGCACATCTATTTTCTTAAGTAAAATATTAACAATAGCAAAATCTAATATAATGGTACCTTCTTCATTAATTACTCCAACATCATAGCCACAATGAATATTTCTAAAATCTTCTACCACTCTACCAACATGTCAATTAAATCTCCTCCAATAAATTTTTTTTCTTCTAGAGGTATCAGTTTTATTAATTCTTCTAGGTCATTCCAAAATTTTTCTTTTGAACTTATATCTAAACCAAACTTGAAAAGCGCAATCACTTATAACATTAAAAATCATAATATCAACAACAATTTTTAGGGTTATAATTTTATCTTCAAATCTATTAATTTTTACACCATTATATTTCAAACACTTATCTTTAACTACACCTACACCAGTTGTAGTGTGAATCCTGCTTGAATACCAAAGTTTAAAATCTAAGATATCAATCTTCTTACTCTTTTTTACAACCCATTTAATTTCTTGATATATAAGATATTTATCTTTCTATGAACCATAATATCTATAAATTCCATTAATTTACGAATCCTATATTAATATTAGTTTTATGAACTTACTATTTTGCCCGTAATCGCCCATAATGTGAAAACCCTTGTTTACTTAACACTACACCCGAGCATGAGATAATTCAGTATCAACAACAATCATGGAATTTCTTTGTAACATTCCTATCCTAATATGTTACATTTGATCAAAACCAAAAATTTCAAAATTACACAATTTAAAAAGGTCTGCATGTGGATCAACTATGATAAAATTCCAATGAAATAGGAATATTACAAGTAACACCCCCAAAATCTCATGAAACAGTAGGTCCAGTGATCTAGCAAGCTCAAAGAATAAAAATGCCACAAGTATCATGATAGCAAAAGTAAACCAATGGCTACAATCCCGGATGGCTGCTTAAGTCCTCAATCGCAATGTTTATAAAAGAAAATTGCCCATAAATTATAAGATGTCAAATGAATCATTGCCATGATTAGAGAGATGAATTCTAGTACCAAAAATGCAGTAATAATTTGTGGACACTTGTTGGATTAATATTACATTTCATACATGTTTTAGTCGATAAATTGCTAGTTGTTATTGAATTTAGACGCTCTGATCATCAAAATGGTTGACAAATGTTTATCAAAGGTCATTAACATATGATTAACTATAATTTTTTCTACTAACCATATCAATGTCATAAAGATCCTCCAGACCTAGTAGGCAAGTTGTGATACATCAAGCCTAGGAGAAATAAGAATGCTTACTAAAAAGAAAGTCAGATCAAATGAAAGTAAAAACCCTTCAAAATGAGTATAGTGTTTAAATGGGGGCAGTGTAGTCCCGGAGTCTATAAAAGTCCAAATTAGTCCCTAGACTCTTTAAATTAGGGTTGGCATTATCCCCATTGAGGACTATTAGAGCATCAAGTAAAAGAATCTGTGGACTAATTTGACACTTTATAAACTTTGAGACTAAAACAGACCCATGTAAAAAGTCAGGGAACTATTTTGACACTTTATCCTTTCAAATTATAATAATAAATATTGAGAACAAAGAGGATTAGTTTGAAGACATATTAGAGCAAAACTGATGATGAAGAGAAGCTGAATGTAGATAATGATGGAATAAATAATAGTGTAAATTAAAAAATCATTAGACAGCGCATGCTATGAACTTATATGTGATTTAACTCTTTCAGTTATTTAAATAAGTTGTTAATGTACTTTGTTCAGGGTAACCTAATAACAAGATAATGGAACTTGGAATGCAGCAAAATTTAAAAATTCATAATTTTAAATAACAATTCAAACATATTTTTCATAAGTAGAAAAAAATTATTAAATGAAATAACTGATTTTTAACACCGCTTTTCTTTGGGCAAAGTTTGAAGGTGGCATTTAGTGCCTTAAGCATCACGAAGTCATATAGCCTGTCAAGTGCTTAATGCATTTAACAACACTATCGTCGAGATTTCCTATTTTTATGGCCTGGCTTCTCCATAATTTTTTTTCTCATTCGATGAATCCTAATGCCTGAAAAGTCTGCATATAAATATATCAAACTTCAGTGGTTTCTTGAACTACTCCAAAAAAGGGAGAGGAGCAATCTGGCAAAGAACACTGGAAAATAGTTCCTAAAATGGAATAGGATGGTTTGACTCTTTCTCACTTGTCTCCATACACGAATATCATTACATAAAACCCAACAATATTTTCTAGATGCAAATATTCTAAAGTGTTTTGCCACCAAACAAACAAAAAAAAACAATTCATAATAACTATTATAACTAATGTGGTAAAAACACAAATTCGAAGTTATGTAGCACCAAAAGCATCCTTAAAATTTAGAATAACAGAGAATTTTACCTGTCAATAAATGTGTGTAATATAACAAATTGTTTGCAGCAAGGCCCTCAATAAGATCCCAAAGATGTTGGCCATCTAGAACTTGCCCTTTAAATGTAGGATATCCTGTACACTTAAGATATTGTCATATAAGAATTGAATGGTCGTTTTTCTTTTTCATTGTTCCTTTTTTTTTTTTTCTTTTGACAGAGACGTTGTGGATTTACATAAATACCATATAGTTCTTATGTATTGACATGTCAAACAACTAAACTTTGATATTGACTTATAAAACACAAAATTATTTAAATCACATCAAAATATTACTAATACTATCCTTTCAATATATATATATATATAGTGAAGTTATTGAGACACAAAAATGTTACATAAATATCAAAGCTTAGGTTTTTATGAGTAAATACTTAAGGTAGTATGTATGTAAATCTACCTTCTGACTCCAGTAAGTCTTATAGATAACACTAAACAGCTTGCCTGTATGATTAGAAAACTGCACGGAGTTTATTGGATCAACATCGTAGCCAAGAAGTTGAAGAGGAAAAACAGCAGATTTATTGCCAACATATCCCTAGGAAAAAACATGATCCACTCATTAATAAAAAAGAGAGCTTATGTAGAACTAACTGGTTTTTATATAAAATCTCAAACTGCCTCATCTGGATGGTTTGGTACCAACAAAATTGAAGTAAGAACTAAAAAGCGCGCATCCATATTTAGGGATAATAAAGGCATCTTTTGCAGAAAAATAACAAAACAAGCCCATATGAAAAATATAACCAAAACAAAGATCATCATGTAGCCAGCATGCAGACATTTACTTAAGGCAATTTCAACAACACTTCAATTCAACAATATTTCTATCATGACAATCTTTGCTCCAACTTTAGAAATTGTAACCCAAATTCTTTAAGCTCCAAATTCTCTTAATCAACAGTATCCAATTTTCTCCACAAAATGCAAATAAGAGCTTTGAGTTGAATGTAGCATAAACTAAAACTAGAACTTAGCCAACAGGAATGAATTTAGAAAGAACTGAAGCTGTTACTAATTTGATTAGAAAGTCATCATCAGCAGCATAAGCATAAAGAAGGTTATCATATGTCCTAGGATATCTAACATGATGATCTAAGGCGTCTAACAATAGTTAATATATTTCTCACTAAAATAAGGATTTAAGATAATTTCTACTCCGACGACAAAACAGATGGTGTCACGACCCTGCCCAAGGCTTGAAAACAATCAAGATGGGGACGGGCAGTCAAACGATGGAAATATTTCTCTATTTTTTTTATTTCTATCACTGACAGTCTAATACTCAAAAATTCATAAAAGAGTCGTTAAAGAAAGCAATTTAATTAACAAGTAGAAATTTGTACATTTTCGGCTGATGTTCTCATCTCTTGTACACATTAGCTCCTCTTTTACTCATCTTATTCAGAAGCTCAAAACTTCCAAAAAAATACTAAAGCAACATAATGATTTATCTAAAGATAATTCAGAGTAAGCACACTTCTAAAATATAGTAATCCAAGGAGAATGAATCAATTTGCATGCTGGCATTTTATATCTCCAAAAGAAATCTTTTTCTATGCTAGTCTTTCATATTTCTATAAAAAATCCTATAATATATCAATGCATGTCTTAATAACATTTACTCAATAAAAATATCCAAATATTTTATATGCATTTAACTTTACTTTTACTTTATACTTTTTACTTACACATCTGTCTATTTGAATATCACAGTCAACAAAATCTAACACACCAATGACTGATATTATCTCCAGCAGAGCGGTTAGTAAACTAAACATCACAATTGTCTGGGGTGGTAAACTCTGTCTACTCGCTCCTGGCCGACATTATCCTGTTGGCACAACGATTAGTAATATACCATCACAACTATCTAGAGCGGTAGAAAAACCTCTATACGGGCGGGTACACTGGCGTCCCTAACTATACCATTAGGGTGTAAGCTCCTCTTAACATGCACATACAAGCATACAAGTATTCATATATAAATTATATCATTCTTCAAAACATGCATTCTTCTAAGACGTCTTCATTCATATACTAACATGCATACTTACCTTTTCATGCAACTAATCATCACACATATTTCTTATATCATGCATATCTCTCATATCATTCATCTCTTATAGCATGCATATCTTTCACGTCATTTGTATCACTCATCTCAAGCATATCTATCATAACATGCATATCTTTCATAAGATGCACATCTTTTCCTATCGTGTTTATCATGTATATTTTTTCTGTCTAACAATATAAAGAATCTAACCAAAAACATTCATGGAGTCAAATATACATTTTGAAATAAAGAAGATTACTAAAATTTAGAAATGTAATCACTCACCTCAGTTGCCACGTTAGATTCTCAATCTTCAGTAATAAGTTGGACGTCGCGATAACATTTATGTTGATCATAGTAAATTATAGAACAAACGCAAACTTTAAGATTCAGGCAATTTTCGTTAATCAAATTATTCTTCTTAAGTTAACATAGAATTAATTTACCTGAATTTATGGAGCCGCCCCACGACTAAATTCGACAAACCTCCCGTAAACAGCTTGAAATTCATAAATATCTTAGGATTTTATAATATTTTGGCTCATAAGTGATTAATTTACCAAAATGTACCTCAAACAGGCTTCACGGCATAACCCAACCTTCACCGAAACTGCTTATTCTTCCACTCTTTTTCTTATCACTAAAGTCACTTCGTATCTTCGTTGATTTCTCGCTTAATACCCTTATGAAAGTTCACAAGTAAATTTTGTCACTTTCGACGCAACCTCGTCTCCGCTACGGCGACCGAAAACAAAAAAGATGCACGATTCATGGCAAATCTCACAATGAAAACATGAAGGAAAAAATATCTCAAATAGATTGAAAAAAGGATTCGTACTCACTGATTTTGTCCCTGAGGTCTGAACAAATAACTGCGGCTCTTGGCAGGCAAATCGAGAAAGAAGTTTCACACTCACTGAAAGAATTTTTGCGCTCACCTGCTGCAAATCATGATTCTCCTACAATGCAAAATTGTGCCTATAACCGTGACCAAGTGTTGAAGCCGGTAGCAAGGGGATACAGGAGAGGGGAGAAGAAAGTTAAAGGATTTGTAAAGATGCCAATCTTTCGACCGAAACCAATGTTAAATATCGGGCGGAAGTCGGTTGGGAATGGTAAGATATGGGAGATTAAGGAATAATTGGGATTAATTAATATAATTAAACTTATAACTTCCAACTTTTATATTTCTCAATCGATTAATAATTTACATATAGTGTTATATATTGAATTGATCGATTTGACGTGTAGAATTTTATAAAATTGATTTGGATAAAATTTGAGGAATTGAAATTTAAGTATATTTTAAATTTACTAAAAAATTTTACATTATTTCACAAAATTAGTTATTACATCTGGTACCAATTAACGGGATTTATCCAAGTTTTTCTAATTTAATAGTGATAGGGTTGTGTAAATCAGGTATGCATCTTAGAAAGATAAAGGTGTCTTTTGAAAAAATCAATTCTGTGGCTAATTTCCAAAAACATATCCATGGTTCATTCTCAGGGAGATTATGTTTGAATGTTCCTTAAGAGATCTACCAATAATGGTAAAGCAAAATATAAATTTAATTATTCACAACGTGATAACAAGTTGAAATATTAAATGCAAGATACAACAATCGACCTACAAGCAAAGGTATAAACAGTTTAAATCTGGAACTATAATTTATCTCATAAAATAAGCTATCCGCTCAATACATTGGAACATGTAAAAAGCTGCTTGCATCATACTAAAACAAAAAAAAAAGGCAAATGAATTTCAATAAATTTCTAGACTAACGGCAATTTCTAGAGAATTTCAGGAAAATGCAGCACGGTTAGAAAATATAGATTCGGTCAAAAGTTTGGAATAGCAACATATATCCTCATAAAGTCAAAACAATAACTATAACAAGTAGAAATGTACTTCCAGCTAAGTAAAAGGTATGGCTAGCAAGAGTAATAGTTTATGCTTGTAATGAAGGGCAAAAGCACAGTATAAAATTTTCCACATGACAAAGAAATTAAACTTCTAATTGCAAGTCCCAACTGAAAATCAAATACTTATTCTCACATATCACAAACAAACCTTAGATTAACAGTAGTGTTCTACAATGTTAAAGCTTTGAACAACAGATAGAAGCCAGAATCTTTAGCAGTACCAGCTAAAAAAGAGGAGTGTTGCCTTACTTTGGGTTGTTGAAGATTTTTGAACCACATTGTTAAACTAGATCACTTGAATCAATTTGAGTTGCTTCAGTTATAAACACCTCTTCAGGTGTTCAGTCTAGTGGATTCTATCTTTTGTTCAATGAGTGGATTCTCTCATTTGTTCAAATTGTTAAAAGCTAGTTAGAGTTAAATTATATTTACATTGAGAAGAACAAAACTTGAACAGCTTAAGATTGGTCAGAAATTAAAATTTGTAAGGATGTTAGAACATTAAGTGGAAAAACTTTTCAAGGTTGGTTTCGATCAGTATTTTCACTTGCAAAATGAGTTGGAAGGCTAATGGATGGATTGACAGTCCATTGGTGGTCCATAGAAGTTCCAGGCAACCGTCGACCGCCTAAAATAATGGGGACAGCATAAACATATAGAATAAATATGGTGAAATGTGGAAATCAAATTAAAAACAATTGAATACAAAAATAAACATTACACCATGGTGACCTTCATTCAATCATCCTCTATGGTATGTGGACCATAAGAGATAAAACACTAGTCAACCTGCCCCCCTTAACAATCATCTATAAATCAATAGTGCTTTTTTCTTTCCTTTCGAAACTCAAGATACCGTGTAGAGAAAAGAATTCTACAGCAAAGTACGTAAACAATAGGTAAAATTCTTAACTGCATTCAAATATTATTTCATGTCAAGTATAAAATTAGTTTAGCATCACATCTTACTGCTTCAAATAAAAAATAAACTAAAATAAGGATTGAAGGCATGCCTCATTCATAACTCCAAGCGGCTTCTTTAGTCAATTATTTTGATTAATTCCGAAAGCATGCTCTCCTTATGAACATTTAGCCAAATATATTATAAAAGGTTAGATTCTCTGCCCATAATTTTTGATTTAATGAGTACTTCCAAATAAAATGCATGGACAAGAAAAGAACTGAAATCTCATGTATATATCTTTCCTCCTTCGATAATGTTCATGGTGTTCATTTTATATAGCTCACAAATCAAATCATAAAACCACAAAATGGAAGGGCTCCTCCCCTAATCTCCTTGCCCACCCATTAGTTCAAAGAATTAGAATAAACATCATGTCATTCACTTTAATGGCCCTACAAGAATATGGTTATAGCATAATACTTCTATATAAAAGTAGCATTTTGCAACTAAAACCTCAAAAAACTGTAAAAAACACATAAATGATATCAAGAATGTTATTAAAAATAAAAGAACAAGAATCAGTCAAAATAGAAGGTACCTGAACAGTATGAGACTGGATGCTAAGAACACGACCTGTCTTAGAAGGAAGAGTTATGGAGAGAATTGGGGCTGATGACAAATTGCAATTCTTGAACCTGACAACACCTGAGGGGAATAAATCTTAGAGCTTCAATGAATAGGAGCAATCTCTAAAAAGTATAAAGCTGAACGATGAATCACCATTTCCATCCTTAGTTGCATGTTTAAATATTTTTAATTTCCATATCCCCATATTATGCATACAACCAAAAAATATTCCAAAAAATTTTCATATTATATTTTTCTTCTTTATTTTCTACAAAACCATTTAAAAAAAATATTTCAATCCTTTAAAACTTTTTGATAAAAGTCATCATAAAAACTAATACAGCTATTTAAAATCCACAAAGTAGATAATGGTATAAAACAAATAAGACCTATTAAAACTAATTTTGAATAATATTTAGGGTGAAACTAGCGTCGGAAGAACCAAAACTTTTTAGGAAAGTGGAATCCATGAGTTGAAAATACGATTGGAAAAACCAAAGCTTTTCAAGTTTAAAGCATTTTCCTAGGATTTGCATTTTTAATGCAGTAATTTAACCCTTTGCTAGAAAAAGGAAAGTATTTATCAGCTAAGGAGAATATGTTTCCTCTTTTTTTTTTAAAGGAAATTAAGACCTCAAATATATGAGTGAGAGATTGAGCGATTGAGAAAGATTGCATGCACTAATTAAATGAAAAAAATATATAAATAATTTTTTGCCCTTTATGTACCAACGATTATTTTGACATTAATGGCATTCACAATGCAAAACACAACCTTTATATTATTCTACATCATGCAAATTAAAGTGATAGAATTTATCAAAATGGCAAAAATGTAGAGGATTTCAATTTCATTCTTTCATTTTTTTTTTTTTGCAAATCCATGAGTTGCTTTAAAGTGTTAATTTAATATATAATACCAACTTTATAGTTGAAATAGTTATCACAGTGGGAACCCAAAATTCATACCAAAAAACCATGACAGAAGATTCAAAGTGGTAAAAATAAAGCTGATTAAATGACTGACAATAATACATTTCAAAATATTTTAAGTGGCATCCATATATATATATATATATATATGATGATCTAAGGCG